GTGGATTTGATTCCTATAGTCGACTGCCTCCATGGTGTAGTGGTTAGTGTGTTAGGCTTTCGTTTCGGACGTCGTGAGTTTCCGATGGGTGACTGCCTCCTTAGTGCAGTATATCCGTAATCACTCAGTCAGTTCTTGCATTATGTGGAAGTGGTACGGGTGATGGTCAGAGCTTGTTTACAAACAAGGGCGTATGCAGTGCAACGTTGAAGGTCGTAGACGTAGGATATAGGTATTCGTTTAATGTGTATGTAATGATGTAATTTGTATCAGGAGAAGGGTCTTATTTCAAAAGGATGGTAATAATTTTAATTTCACCCTGTAGGTACATTATGAAAACGTTACCCTATATTCCAAAATTTGCGTTTCAGTCGGCGTCCTTTGATGTGCCGCCGCTGAGGCAGAGGTGCTATTTTTTAATTTTTTGTAACAGTCTGTAATTGCCGTTTGCGTTGTGAGGACTAAATAGGTGTCATCGTTTTGTTTGTGTCTTGTTTTTGTGTTTATTTAAACTATGTCACGCTTAAGCAATAGTGATTACTAAGAGATGATGTTGTGCGTAGGCGCAGCCGATGGGAGCTTGCGCCAGCCTCGCCAAATTTATTGGGCAAAGTTTATTGATGGCGTCCCAGAAAATCGACGTCGACCATTTCCTGCTGTGGAATGCTTCAGGAAGATGGTTATGAGACTTCATAATAGTGGATCGTTCCGTGGTTCCAGTTCTGAAGGCCGGCCGAGTTCACGAGACCCAGAATTCGAGGCAGATGTTTTGGAACATTTTCTCGGCAATCCAAAGACAAGTACTCGTCGTGCTGCGGCAGCCTTTGGTGGTGTGAACCATATGAGTGTGTGGCGTGTGCTACGGGATGATGGCCAGCACCCATACCATTTTCAAAGAACGCAGGAGCTGTTACAAGCGGACTATGATCCACGTTCCGTTACGTTTACGACCGCGACCAGATTGGGAGGTCTCCCGACTTCGCTTCGTCGGTACTGTGGACAGACGAGGCGTCATTTACGCGTGCGGGCATTATCAATATGCATAATGAACATTTTTGGACTCATTTGAATCCCCGCGTATCAAGGGAATCAAATTTTCAACACCAGTGGCGGATTAACGTGTGGGCTGGTATAATAGGTTGTGCCGTCATCGGTCCAGTGTTTTTGCCGGCAAGTCTGAATGGGGCCAATTATTTAAGATTCCTAACAGCAGAAGAAATGAGGCAGCGGATCGAAATGGCGTTTAGTCAAATCACTCGGCAGATGCTTCAAAGAGTAGAGCAGTCTCTGTACCGACGCACGGAAATATGCATATTGTATGGAGGTCGGCATTTTGAACCTTACCTGTAAATGTGTGAAATGTGCCAGCAGTGCGTGTAGTGATTGTACTTATTATTCAAAATTATCGTAAACAAGTCAATATTTCGTACATTGTACAACAGTGAATTACAATTCGTAGGAAATTCATTAAAACGTGTATGAATTGCACAGTAGGTAAGTACCAATTAAAAAAGTATCCACTATTGTAAAATTGTCGTAAATAAATGTATTAATACAAAATTATGTAGAATGTGTATACGATGAAGGCGTGCGTAACTACGGGCTTAATAAGTAAATAAATATCCTTTAAATTGTATGTAAATAAGTACGTACCTAGGTATGGTATAAAATAATATTGTTAGAAATAATTCGATTTTTCTAGGTATTTAAAGATTTTGTTACTTAATATTAACGTGTTATCAACATATTCAAATCATGTTTTTACAGTGGCATTTCAATTGTAGTCAGCTGTTCTTTCGCCGCTCCGCCCAGGTTTCATTAATGAATTTGTGAAGTCGTAGTAACGTAACTAGCAATAGAGTTGTGACGCAGTGGTTGTTTCGGACAATCACTATTTATACAAACATAATTAAAGTTATATCAACATTAAAAGTCACTTATTTTTATTTGATATTTTGCACAGAGGGTCTAGATCAAGTATAGGTTTGGCTCCTTTAATATGACTACACCTTGCGGTTACACCCTGTATAAAATAAAAGTTAGTTAGTTGGAAATACCGTAACGTATGTTATCGACGTGTAAGTTATTAAAGTTTATCCTCGACGGGAAATTTCGCGATTTCTTCGAGTGTTTAATTTTTTTTTCTTTTTTGCTTAAAATTAGGGCGACGTGGAACCGGCTCCCATGAATGAGAAATTGCCCACTTTTTTAATTTTTATTTATCACTGTGACGTAGTAGTCTTTTTATGTGTAACACCATTGACTTACAATTATATGGACGTCGGGTCCGCGCTAAAAAGTGTCCGCACTTGTAAGGCGCTAAAATCGTATACAGAGCGCGACACTCCGCTTTAGTCTTCATTTGTTTTACGGACAGCGCGATACTGCGATGACATAACAATTTAAATTTCGAATAGGTTGACTCTTGACATTTTTTTCGTGGTTTTTGTATTAGACCCGTCGTCCATTTATTTGTAAGTCAATGTGTAACACAGACTAAGTAAGCAAGATAAATCATAATAAATAAATAATGCTTAGCATTCATGTAATAACATAAAAGTTATTGAAAGGGACACATTTTTTGGAGGTTATCTGAAAACGACTCAGAATCGTTGAGTGTGCCCAGACGATTATTTGGCCATTCTCACTGTATGTTGCTGCCTTTGCTTCTATATGACTCACTTTATAAAACATCGTTTGCAATATAGATTCACGTTATTGCGTTAATAGAAGAGACAGATTGCAAACATTTAACTATGAAACTGGAAAGAAAACAAAAGAAAATCTGAGTTTCAAAATTCAAATGTGGTAGACTTCACAGAAAAACAAACGGTAAATTTTACGGATGCGTTCGTTTCGTCCATTTCTTTTTTTTGAAAAAAACATGATTTTGATGACATTTCTTAAACAAAAATAAAATGATTATATATTTGTTTGAAAGTAAATTGTTGATGTTTATTTTTTACCGCAGTATTACGATACAAAGTAAATAGTATTTTCAATAATTTTGAACGCATTTTTCATCCATAAAAGTACTGGTGTTGGTAACTGGTGTTGGTGGTCTTGTACAGGGTCAAGAGCACATCAAGCTTGACACTTAAGACTTCTTCTTCTTCTTTTAAATGTTGTGGCTCCATAGAAATAATCAATGATTTTGCCAATGTCAAGCAAAAATAACTATGTACGGTAGTTTAATATTATTATAAAAATTATACAAAAAAATGGCAATTGCGCCAATGTCCTGTGAGAATGTAAATCACTTAAGACTTAAATCCAACTCTATGTCGCTTACGCCAAGAACGGTCCAAAGTACAAAGTGTCAAGCTTGATGTGCTCTTGACTGTACTCTTTGTAATGGTAAGGTTTTTTCACTGTTGCCCAATCATTTTAAATCTCGTTTTTCTATCACACTAAATAAAACTTCAAAAGATGTTCCTCAACAAAGAACATATTAATATGAGTCTTCGAATTATAATTTTCCAATATTTTTCAATTTTTCAGATTTTTTTCTCTGAAAATTATTCAACAGTGCGCAACATGCAACTCTGTTTTGAGGGATTCGCTCTGAACCTTTTGGAGGGAAAAGTGTCATTTTTATTTTGACTTTCAATTATTTTGTGAAATCTAGTTTAAAGTGGAATAGGATAGTGCTATTGTGCCTTAATCTAAGATTAAAACGCGAAATTATACGAATCTCGAACTAAAATACCCGTATCTGCCCGTTCTAAGGAATCCCGAGTCAATCCAAACACGCCGCCTCACATTGCCTATCCTCTTTGTGGCGGCCATATTTACAGAAACATAAAACATAATTCAACTTCATGTACATCATAGATTTAGTATATCCATATATGTACTAAAAAAGAATAATGTACGAAGACTTGGCTGTATGGTGTAAAACCTTTGCCTTTATGGAAAAAAGAAAAAAAAAATCTGTTTGTTTTGACATTGACAGTTCAACGAATTACGAAGTTGAGAACTTTGTAGTATAGAAGAATACTGTTTTGAGCTCAATTTGTCTGTAAAAATTTGTAAAATTTATTGTTCTTCAACATGTACAAAGTATATTCCAAAGCCAACATTTATGTTTCGGGGAAAATATATTTCAACAATATTTTTTTTGGTAAGTTCTTTTTGTCTATAAATTGGTTATATTATGAGAAAACTTGTTCTTTCTTTGTGTTCGTTCGTACCTATGACGCTGGCACCATGATGGGAGGCTCTATACTATAATAGTATTGGTTGCTTTTATAATTGTAGTATGTGTATTTAGTTCGTTTATGTATAACTGGGTATGTATTGCGTCCTTTGCAAATCAACCTGTTTTCAATTAGATAGATGCGATATATATGCATAATATAATATGCGTAGCGAACAGATTGTACTTTTCCGTACACCTGCTTGAATAATGGTGTTGATGTGTGTAGGTTTAGAAGGCTACTTCACATAAGAAGACTAGCAGACCACATGTTAAAAATTACTAACCATTGTTTTAAAGTGTTTTTCTTGCGTGTATTGTAAAGTCTCTTTATTTTACAAAATGTGTTATTGTACCAGATGCCGCAAAACAAATGGGGAAAACTGTTCATGTGTCATCTGCAAATAAATTTCCACTAGCTGCAGCTTTAAAACTGCCTATTAATATAGTTGACATAAATGCCGCTGAAATGGGCAGATTTTCACCGCAAAGAGAAAGAGATATATCTGGTCCAGTAATCAATTCATATTATGAAAAGCAGCAGGACCGTCACTTTGGCATTGATATCACAGTTCAATCTGATCCTCATTTCAATAAATATGACTGCAGAGGTGCTGTTAGCCTATCTTCTTCAATGCAGAGCAATGTACCAAGCCCATTCACTGGTAACGACACGCATCTCAACATGCCAGGTTCTCAGTGGGGACAAGGTCACAAATACTTGTCTGACCACCTGCACAGTGCTCACTACTTAACTTTGAGAAATGAATATCGTAACAAACTTTTTAGCAACGGTAGGTATAACATAACAACCATGAAACTAATGAATTTTATCATCATAGTTTAATTAAATCATGTACTGCTTGCTTAATGATTGACAAAACTGTTGTTGGTACTATTGAAGATATTTTTTATTTGTAAACACTGATAACATTTTTATTCCAATTGTTTAATAGTTTTATGTATTCTATTACCTCACTGGTTTAATGCCATTATATTTTTTCAAAGCATAGTTGTAACAATTGGGACAAGACACATGAGTACTGATGAAAATTCAACATCTGCAATGAGCACTAAAGAAAAATTGAAAAAGGCTGTGAAAGAGTATGGTTCCACAGTGGTTGTGTTTCATGTAACAATTTCCGTTTTCTCTCTGGGGGCATGCTACCTCCTTATATCTAGGTATGTTATTAATCATTTATGTATCATCACGAAAAGTATATCAGTGCATAACATTTACTAACAATTATGAATACGTGCTGTATTTAGGAGTAATTCAATAAAGTAATAATTATTGATGCCTTTGTTATTTTAACTTTGCAAGCCATGCTATGACTAAACATTATGTTCTAATTATAATTAACAGTTTTAGTGGTGTCACTAATAATAATTATATCCAATGAGTACTAGATTAGAGTCCATTTTTGCACACTGCTCTCTCTGTAGACAGCAGTGTTCATGTTAATTATTTTGTGCCATTTAAAAAAACAGGTATTCAATACAAAACAAGGTATCCGCATTTGAGCAAATATTTGTTACATGTAAGCGAAAAGAATGTTTGCTACACATGAGTCATTTTGATAGCATATTCTATATATTCTTATATTCATATTTTCATTTCAGCGGAGTAGATCTGGTGGCGCTTTTAAATCGTATTAATATTGGCGAAGGAACACTGACCAGGATAGCGTCATCAAACGCTGGTTTATTTGTAGTTGCATATGCAGTACATAAAGTATTTGCACCAGTAAGATTAGGTATTACGTTAACAGCTACACCTTTCATTGTAAGATACCTTAGGAATAAAGGAATTTTAAAACATAAGGCAAATGGTGTTGGGAATTAAATCATTGGAATCAATTTGGTATTTTATTTGTAGTTTTTTCAATATAATTATATTCCTACCTACCAAATGTTTTCAAAGAGTGAAATAATAGCTTAAGTCCTCCTTTTAGTCTAAATACAAACAACATCTGTGAATTATTTTAATAATTTTAACATATTCAAAATATAAACAACATTTACATTACATAAAGTAAAAGAAATGTGTATTTTTATCATGCCTTATTTTAGTGTGACCATAATAGATTGATTACTTGAAATTTGACTACTCCTAATTAGGCGGCTTCAGTCGCATAAAACTAGATTTGGCCGGTCCAGTTTCAAAGTTGCAAGGATGTTTTTCTGTTCATGCTGCGCTGTAAACAGCTTATTCCGGCAGTACTATTGTCAATCTCGAGAACCAAGCTCTCAGTTTAGAGTGGTTACACAGGGCGAGTTTTAGTAGCTATGCAAATGCGCGACTGCATCGATCGATACAAACGCGCGATTGCATCGATATAAATCGCGTAGCAATCCCAAGTGTAGCGATGCAATCGCGCGTTTATATCGATGCAGTCGCGAGCTTGTATCACTGCTTAACATCGCGCGCGTGTGTAAAGGTAGACGATTAAAGGCATGTAAAGGTAGGCGACTGCATCACTACTAAAAGTCGTGTGTATCCGCTTTTGTATCTGATTGCACCTATACAAAGTCGTGAGTAGAGCCTGCTCCAGTCAAAGACTTCGTGCTATAGAAAGTATACATAGATATCGTTGGCTTTTGTAGCAAAATTTTAGAATTAGTAACGCCTTTGTTTAGCCCTTTCATGGGCAGTACTTAAATAGCATTGCACACAAAAATCTTTACTTACGTACTTTCTTTGTGACATAGTTTTTTGAATTGAAACACAAAAACAATGACAAAAGACAAAATTGAATGTTCACATGGAACATTTGAAATAATTCAAATGTTCCATGTGAACATTCAATTTTGTCATTATGTTGTAGATACTTCTCAATGGAGTAGCAGTGTACGGCAATTGCACAGACACGCAATTGAACCGAAGTCAGGCGGTTTGTTTGAGAGGTTACTGTTCTAAATACCTGCCGATTTCTTCGAGTGTGCCGTAGGGTTCCCATTTAGTTCCGCTACTATTTTCCTTATATATCAACGATTTAGAACACTGCACCAATCAAAGCATCTGCTTTATGCAGACAACACCAAACTTTATAAAATAGTAGTCTCCTAGCGACTAGTCCGACTGTAGCAAGTCGGACATCGCAACTCTCTAAGGGTCGTATTCCAGAACTCTACTCAATGCTCAAGTCAGGACTTGAGCAGACTTGAGTATGATTTCAAGCACTGGAAATACGACCCTAATGGCAAGGACTTGAGTATGATTTTCAGTGCTCATTGCAATACTCACGTTTTGACTTGAGCATTGAGTAGAGTTCTGGAATACGACCCTTAAAGTATTGTATGACATAAAAATCAACTTTTCTTAAATATAGACAAGTGTAGCATAATCACTTATACCCGTAAAAAAATCTTCAATACATTATAATAAAATTATACCCTTGAGCATTCTATCTTGAAACGAGTAAAAACCATTCGAGACTTAGCACAGACATAATATATCTAGATGTTTGTGAGATTTAGGCATTTTCATGGATGACCAACTATCTCTTTCAACTCTCATATTGATATAATACTCAATCGAGCCTTTAGAAGCCTGGGCTTTATCAATCGCGTTGCCAAACCGTTAAGCAAGTATAAAACATTTAAAATTTTATATTAGGCATTCATTTGTTAGATTCATTCTCCATTTAGAATCTATTGTATAAATGTAATAACGATCTAATAGAAAGAATCCAACAGAAATTCATAAGGATTCTTAATTTTCGTACTAATTGCGAATTTTGTATAGGCACCTATATTGCTTACAAAAATGGTTTAACAATTAGGCTCAATTTATATTGCGGAACGGAATGGAAGCGAATTTTTAGTAACGATATTGTACATATGGTCAATTCCGCGGAATTCATGCGCATGTTCGAGAATGCTCGCGCATTCAGCGGAAGATTTTGGCTTGTATTTAGTTTGTACCTGGTTTGTACATACAACATACGTTACACGTAAGTCAATGCGTTACTTGGTAAGTCAATGATATTTATGTATGCATTCTAATAATATATGTATTTATTATTATTATTATTTATATGTTTACGAACGAGTGGCAATGCGAGTCGCGAAGCGAATTCAACTCTGACCGTTTATACATGCGTGTCGTGTGTCGCATCGCCACTCGCACGAATGTGAGAACGCGTTTCAACCACTCGACACGAATGTTTCGTCGAAACATTATTGTATAGCTAGCACGATAGTGTAAACGCGGTATTAGAGGATGAGAAAAAAAAAAATGTTTGTACCAAAATAAATAAAAAAGAAAGCACTTGGATATTGCACTGTAAAACCCGTAGTTGGTTTTTTGTGATCCATATTGCGAAACTGGTCACCCCGTACCCGTACTATCATAAATTGTGATACTAATTTAATTTTCTCCGTTACTGTCCATGAACGGGTTAAAAGACACTACAGATTTATTATCTCAAGGTTATTTATGTGTGTTAGTTTTGGAACTTTTGTTCTTTGTAAAACATATTTTGCATTGCGTATATTATTATGTAGTCTACGGAGCAGCGTTGCCAACATGTATTTTCAAATCGTTTGAGCTCGATTGGGGTTTTTGTGCGGATTGGCGCTACGTAGGCTTGGTTTGATTGACTCTATTGACGCTATGCTAGAACGCACGCCTTGTCCCCACATAGCGCCAATCCCCACGAAAACCCCAATCGAGCTCGACTTGAAATACCCCACACATTGGCAACGCTGCTACGGAGAGACTGTTTGCTGTCTGTACGTTCTATCGTCTATATAATTAACTGCCTCGGTGGCCGAACGGTTACCATGCCGGAATGCCACGCAGAGGTCCCAGGTTCGATTCCCGGGCCGGGAGAAATATTTGTATGGGCCTACATTTATTTCTCTCGTGAGTTTGGGTGTAATTTGTGGTTGTCTATGTGTGTGTCCATGACATCCGCGACACAGGGTTTCCCTAGTGCGGAGCTATGTTGAGTGTGTGCGTTATTATTATTAAAGGGGTATGCTCAGAGGAAAATAATAAAGCCACATTCTTGATGCCCGGCAAAACAAAGACCACGTGGGCATCATGTTCGTCCCTTCTTCGAATCTGCAAGATGTGGAATGGATTCATCCTGAAGTGTTTCCTTAGCGCAATGGGGTTTTTCGCGAGCGAGTGACGGGAGTTAAAAAAACGCGAGTAGACAGCCTACTGCTGTGAGTGTCCATGACGACCATCAAGTGCATCGTCTGCTTGTGTGCCTATTTTACAAAATATGGTGTTGGTCTCTCGGCCTACTCGTGACGAAGAGACACGTTAAGTACATGTACAGTCGCGTACGACGATTCATCACGCACGATTAAGTGATGAATGAATGGTTTCATTGAATAAACGAAACGAACATTATAATTTATACCGCATATAATATTCAATTACGAAAACTGGTGTTAGGGTTATCCTACTGCAACGCTCCGAACCAGCCAACTACAGGATGAAGTAAGTATCTGGAGTGACGTGGTCACTCTCCGAAGTCTTCAGCCAATGTTCCTGCGTTTCAAAATTCGAGATTCATGGGTGGCATGGTGGCACGTGTAAGACCCTGCATCCACCACACGCATAATATGCGGGTACCCATACCATATCATATCGATCTTTACAGGTTATAGGCTAAGGGTACTAAGCACAACTATACAATGTTGCCATGTCCATGTAACTAGGATATTCCCGATTCCCGAGATTGAAAATATACACATATCTCAAGTCACCTTGCATTTTCAATATTAAATGCTTGAACTTAAACAATGCTTGATTGCTCAAAAATGCTATTATGCAACTTTGAAACTGGTACACTAAACGTCATTTATATATAAGGACTTAAGCTTATTGAAAATTTGAATTTAAAATATCGGAGAAAACTTTTTGTTTGATGCTATAAAATTTTATTACGATAAAAGGTGGCAAAATTTTATTACGATAAAAGGTGGCAATACAGGTTGGCTCGAATTATGTGTCCGGGAGTGTATAAGTCTAGAGTCTCAAATATTCCAACAAATCGTAGAGATACTCAAAATTTTCGAGACCAAATTCCCGGGATGAAAGACCCAATACGTATAATTATTTAGTTCTATGACATCGATAAAAACCGGTCCTTGTTTATTATTGATTTTTTCGTTGACCTTGGACCTTCACCTTTAGTATTCTGCGTAGGCAACTCAAATAGGTACCTATAGAACTTAAGCCTTTTTCATACAATTGACATAATCTTTCTCATCCGACTGGTCTCCAACCAACCATTAAAATAAGTGATTTATTTTTGGATAAGTGTAACGAATGTCTATTTCTTCCAACTAAAACAAACAAAAAAAATTACTATCCCAAAACGCACGTCACTGTGAATTCAAGATCGCACTCATGAAGCAGTCCTTGGCTGAATTGAAGTAGGTAGTTTCTATTACATTGCTAATTTTATTGTCATTGTCAATTAACCTTGTCTTATTTAAGTGCAAAAGTTTAAATAACGTGCAATTTTGGTTTTACCCTATATTGTTAGGTTATATTTTGGGCTTAAATTGATTAATACATACGTTGGAAATGTAATGAACTAATGAATGACGTAGGTAAACGTACGTAATGTATCAAGTGGGTACATACCTGTGTTATTGTTGTTATGCATGATATTATTTGTAAGTTCTTTTTGTATTTTTGAAGTCGAATCCATTTAGTTAATAACATTATTTACTTTTCAATTTGCTCGAATAATGTAGGCGTTATTATATATGCTTCAAGTTTTCCTTGAATTTCAATTGTTTATTATACTCGTATAGGACTGCTTTTTACAATGAGAATTATTAAAGTAACGAAATTCGTACGTTTACTTTTTGGCATTTCTAGACGTGTATGCGGTGTAGCTTGTAAGCCTCACGAAATCAAGTGTTAAGTATTCATTAACATAGTTAATATGTCTGATAGTAACGGCAGAAGAAAGTTTTCAATGTAAGTGTTACTAGTTTCTTTATTTAGGTCCCTAAGTATCTATATAATATACATAAGTATTCTATTAAGGGACATTCTGAGATCGTTTTAAAGAAACGGGTAGTTGATATAGTCCTTTCCCGTTATAAAAATTCAGGGTATGTAACTTGCGACTCCTCCCAGTACGGACTTATTGCTATTTCAGACATTTCGGGGTCTCATGCTGCAGAGATATAGTTGACAAGCATGAGTTAGAAAGACAATTTAGTTTCCCTATTTTCAACTTTCATTAGGTACATACTCAACCAATTAAGTCGTGAGTGAGAGTAGGTATTTGCGACTTCTTATGCATGATCTCATGTAGTATTTTTTCGTAATCAACACGACACAGATGTCATTTGAGTTTAATAAACTTTCCTCATTTCCAACAAACAACCTTTCTCGTTTTTTAAAATAGGTATATGCCAAAATATTCACGTCATTGTGAGGACAAAAAATTCAGTTTTTTTATTTATTATGACAAGTTTTATGTTAATGACGCTCTACGCAACGCCTCGAAGCTGGACTCTCTGTACGTAAATACTTTGAATATAAGATAAGAATGTCAAATGTTCAACAATACTTCATCTTGTTTACGTGTATGTATATAGTAGGTACAGATAATACATACACGGCGTGCGAAGGGGACGCTAACCGATAATTAGACCAAAGTTTTGATTTTATTACTTGAAAATTACATTTCTAATATGTTTAAATTACGCTTAACTTGTTTGATAATGTCTTTCATGCTAGTGATGAACACATTTGGCGATAACAGGTAAGAATAAATCGTCGGCTTAGTGCAAGAAGTCATTACTTGCCATATAATTTATATGGCAATTAATGACTTCTTGCAATAAGCCGACGAAATTATGGATAGATCGATTGGTTTTTTATATTTTCGATTTATTTAGTCGTTATTAAGGCACTTTTTGCAATTAAACATTTGTCGCAGACTACGAGCGGTCGGTTCTCGTATATTCCTCTAATCGAAAAGAAATACGAAGTTCGAAGTTTGCAGTTTGTGGGGGCTTTTAGGGAACATTTGTCATGACTCGCGGCCAACCATACCATCACAGACGTCAGCTGTATACGTTAGTAATTTTAATCAGTGTTAACATAAGTTTCGGAGGTCCAGGTGATCCTATACATTAGTTCGGATGTTATTTTATTCGTTAAGCCAATTTGATTATTATTGTGTTAGGTACTCAAAACTCTTTTTGTTAATAGTATCTTTATTATATTTTATTATGTAGCACAGGCATCACGGCAGACGAGCAGTATCTTTTCGACTTCACAAAGACGGATGGCGTCGCAGCTTGGCAGGAGCAGTCGGATACAGTACGCGACGTTGGAATGTCCAAAGGAATACTCGTACTCCACAGGAACCTTAGTTTTAGAAGAGCCATATTCTTTGCTCTATTGAATCCTCAGTTGAATGGGGCTGGGTTTGCTGGGATAAGAGCAATACAAACGTACGACTTGACGGGACACACCAAACTGCAGATAAAATGCAGGGGTCAGGGACAGTACAACGGCTTTAAAGTTATCTTAAGACACAAAGGACTGAATGATGAACCCAATTATTCATTTGAGCAGTACTTTCAGGTACGTAAAGCGATTTCAAAGTATAGAAGATATTATCATCGTAATCTATTCTCATTTCGTTTCCCTTCGTAGTAACTATTTACTACGGATGCGAAGGAAGTGATTGTCGTACACAAGAGGCAGGCCATCATTGACAGCTTCTATATGCTTTATAAAGAAAAACATATGCAAAAAACTTGCATTTTTCTAATGTACAATATTTATACAATTATCTTTACTATAATTTGTATTCCTTTACAGGCGCCTAAGGACGACTTTGCTGTGAAGAGTTTGCCATTTTCAGAATTTAAAGCCTATTACAGAGGCAAAAGGGTTAACAACAACGAAACACTTGATCTATCACAAGTAACCAGCATCGGGATCCAAATGTACGGAGGGGTTTATCAGCCGGTAAAACAAAAAGGCCCCGCTACTTTGGAAATCGATTGGATACGGGCAGTAGTGTGAACAGATTTACTTGATTCGTAAGCCGACGCGTGAGTTAGGTGATTATTATTTACGTTTTAAGGTCATGCTTCGGTGGACACGTTTGAAACATTTATTTGTGACTGTCAACGATTAAAATAATCTTTAAAGTATTCTTAACCGCTTGAGTTTTAATTTGTGTATGGGTGGGTAATTCTCATGAAATTCGTGCTTTCGGTATTTATGAAAAATATTAGGTATTCTTTATTCTATTAGGTAAAATTGATAGTACTCATGTAAATAATTTTAGATGATATAATTGGTACCCAAAATAAATAACTATTAAAAAACAGAAGAGGGTAGTGAGAAAATTTGGGGGCAAGGGAATGATGAAATAAAAATAAACCTAGAACAGATAGCCATATAAATTTACTTTTACACTTAATATTTTGTGTAAGCCTACTGCTTACCAATAACTCATCTCAGAGTAGAAATTATTAAATAAAATCAAATGACTACCATTTTTATATGATGTGATGTGAGGTAGACTGTCAAAAACTTCTTTTATATTTTTAAATTAAATCTTTTCATTCTAAGTTGAATTTCGTAATTTTTTACAAACGTTTATATTTTAAAACTTTAAAAACTTATTAAAAATGCGTTCACAACTCGAGTGAAGGTAAAAGAAGTGTGATGATGAAAAAGATTTTTTTTTGTTTGGGACATGAATTATATAATTTTTAAAGTTATTAACGTGTTTTTATCACAGGATAGCTTTAATTTCGCAAAACCATATTTTATTTGATCGAATGTTTACAGTTTGAAGATATCGAGATCTTAGAAAATGAAGATAATTTTTTTTTAAATATGTTGATTTCAAACACAGAACGTGTTTGATTATGAATCTTGGGACATAGTGAAGTAATAGAATAATTTCAATAGAATAATCAATATTTTATTTAGGCGTTAGTAGCAATTGAAATATAATTTGCTATGAAATATTACTTTTACGGCAAGTCAAGTTAAATCAAATATTAATAAATTTTTGTAAACCTAAAGGACAAGAATTTCGAGATTTTATAAGAATTACCCAAAAAGGGAAGGCGAAATTTAAGAACGCTTTAACGTACCTCAGTTTATTATCTAGAATTAAGACAGCACTAGATATAATAATAGTAATAAAACAGTATACACGCAAATTCCTTATTTTAAAAATTAAAAATATGCATACGCAATCGTATGCTGTGCATTGCAATTTATCGCGGCCTCGAAGGTAGTAGCAAAGTGAGCGCAGTCATAGCGTCTGGAAACAAGGAATGGTAATTGACGAGTGGTACGTAAGCGGCGGTGATGACGCGGCCAGCAAACCAGCGGCCATGTAAAGAGTTCACGGAGGCCACGGCTGTTGCTATCGTTGGACACTTGCAATATACGTTGCCTTGTGGTGAAGCCTTGTCTACGTACACGTGCAGCACCCCACCATGCTTATTGCACTCGCTGATTACGTCGTCACGTATTTCTATATCCCAGTTGGGATTCGATTCCCTGGAAAAGACAGAAATATGTTCACGAACTATTTTTGTAAAGAGTCACTACACTTATCGACTAAGAATAGGATGAAGTCAATCAGTAAAGCTTTATGTCCATATATAAATAGCAAAAAAGACGATGTGCGCTTCATGGTCCGAGCTGAACCGAAATTAGCAACGTCTTTTTCGTTCAAGAACATTACGCTTTTTCGGATTGGCTCAAGCCGAATGTTATAACACTCACGATGAAGGGTCGAACATATTATTTAGCATAAAGCATTGGGTGGCAATAGGTGGCGCCACTTGTGGTTGAGGAGCTAAATTATTGCTACTGCCCATGAGTACTGACGCTGCGGCGGGTGGTATCTGCAACAAGAGTTTATTATAAGCAAAATGCAAATTTTAAGGAAATGAATATCTTGATATAGGACAATAATTTACCTGTAGACCAGTGCCTTCAGCTAGTTTGAACATTAACTGCAGTCTTCCAGTAGCGCCTAAGTCTATGCCAGCGCGGTCCAGTTCGTCAGCGTCAAATCTAGAGCTCGAGCCACCATCGGTGCGTTCAGTTACATTACCCACTTTCATAGGTCGGCCTGCCAATTCAAAGCCATTTAGTTGTTCCATAGCTTTTTTTGCATCCGCAGCATGGTGAAACTGTAAGTAGCAAGAAACAACACTGTTTTCAATTTTAAACCTGTGCCAAATGTACTTATGATTTTATTGCGTTTAATAACATATCAAGATTAACTATTCTCATCTTAATTCCACTTTAATTAAATGTATATGGTTACTTCGTTTCTATTTATTTTTTTATTTTTTATTTCATATTTTATTTTAATTTGCTAGTATTTATAATTACCGTAAGGAATCCATATCCTTTGCTTTTTCCTGTTTCAGGGTCAGTCATCAATTGGATGTGGTCAATTTTTCCAAATGGTTCAAAAATTCCTCGAAGCATATCTTCAGTAATGTTAAAGTGCAGAGAGCCAACATACAATCTTGTGGGCCCATTGCTCGTTTTTGGGGCTAAATTAGGCAAGGTATTGCCTACTCTATTTTTCTCTGCTTGTGTATGTTGTACAATTATTGGAACACCAAGTAATTTTTGTCCAGTTAAACCTAACGCCTGTAATAAAAAATCAGTTATATTATAATATTATATGTAATAAGTGGGTATTGTATAAAATTATAAATTCAAAACGCTTTTATTTTGCACTATACTAATGGTACATACCAAAGGAACTGATTCAGCGTCTTTAAACTCTATATAAGCAATTCCCTTAAATCTTCTAGTTTTGTTGCATGTGATTAGTCTGACATCACGGACTTTTCCAACAGAAGAGAAGAATTCTTCTAGATCTTTAGCCCTAATCCTTTGAGACAGCTGCATACAGAACACAGTACGCAAATCTCGCTCTTCTGGAGGCAAATCGTCAACTTTTGGTTCTGCACCTCTAGATTTGGAACGATATTCCTTATTGTCCTTTTCCTTACTTCTTTCCCTCTTGGTGGTGTGCCTTTCGCGACTGCGTCCACGTTCGCGATCTCGACTACGAGGACGTTCTTTGTCCTTGCTACGTTCCCTTTCTTTGCTACGTCGTTTTTCCCTGTCGCGTTCACGTTCCTTGTCTTTATGGTTTTTATCCTTATCTTTATCTTTATCTCTGTCCTTTCTGCTATCCCTATCTCGGTCGCGGTCGCGGTCGCGGTCCCTATCTCGATCCCGGTCTTTATCTCTTCTGTCATCCCTTGAACGAAGAGAATCCCTATCGCGTGATTTTCTTTTTTCTCTTGATCTACTTCGCCTGGAAATAGATGTCTGCTGTAGTGATTTCAATTTAAAAAATCTTAATTGATACAGTAGATTTCTGGTATGAATTTAACTCACCTTCTACTACTATCACGCTCCTTTTCTTTGTGCTTATCAGAATACTTGTCCGAACGATGCTTTGAAGAGGAAGTGTTATCCTGTCACACAAAGCACAAGGTAGAAGCAGCGCCACAGCAACACACGCCGAGTGAATAAATAAAAAATGCATTAGTTGAAATTGAAATAGTATTGTGGAGAACATACATGCTATTTCATCAATGTTGCCTTACTGAAGGCCATTAATGAGATAACACATATGTTGGTTTTACTTTTCTTAGTCTATCATTGGTGGCTGTAAGAGTTACTCTATAATCGTTGACCTGAGTGAGTCGTCGTAGTCAGTGTCGTTGCCCTGGCTACACTTACCGTTCACAAACCCACTGACAAAGGTCGTACACAGCGCTAACATCACACAGGGATACTTCTGCAAAAGATTTATGACCCATCAGCTCATGGTCTCTTTCAAATATTGTACTGACGTAATTCATATTTCATTTTTCTATTTTTTAAAAAGTAAACTTTTAAGGTCATTTAACAATTTTTAAAGTGTTTGCAATGAAAATATTAAAAAAGTAGTTAAGTTTGTGGATACCTCTCTGTTTGTTCAGGTCGGTGAAGTATGCTGGACTATTACCACAAAGTTCTATAAATACAAGAAATGATACTGAAATGTAATTTTGTTCTCAATATTCACTACTGTTCAAAGATGTCTTTGATTTACCAAATAAATTTTATAATTAATAAAAAATATTTTTTAACTTCCTTTAACTTTCTTTACATAAAATCTTGAAACATCTTTGAACAGTTTAACCTAGTTTTAAATGTAATATAAAAGTAATTTGAAATCATTGGTTGAAAGTAGAATGAGCTACTAGTAATAATAAATATATCTGGTTCATATTTATATTGATGTCTCGAAAATATTGTTGCTGTTAAATGCATTTTGCAATTATACACTTTTCCAAAAGAAGTATTTCAACAAATTATATGTGCAATTGGTAGGTATGCTGCAAGACAACCAAGAGCCTCAGGGCATGAATGAGAGATTTGAAATTTGTTTTATGCATACCCTGCAACTTATTAACATTTAGTCAGGATTATTTAGTAGCTCCAGGGCAAGTTAGAAGCCTCATGTGAACTTGAGTTTGCAAAGTAGGTAGGTGTAGAACGAAGATAGGTTATAAAAATGCGTACTTATAAAACACTAGGTTCGTTCGTTCATAGTTTTTTTTAATAGGAGGACACGACAATTATACGAGCGCATAAATGACTCTTTGCCCGTTTATTAACTACTTCAAGTATTATGATTGTCCCTAACAGGCTTTTTCATGGTAAAATTATTTTATTCATGCATACGCTCTAAGTTATAGGGTAAAAATAGATCTAAATGGATACTCACAGATTTGTTGTAGGGCGCTTCTAGCATTGCTTCGACATCCAAATCTTCGGCCATTCTGTGGCAAATACGACAGTACACTTTAATACATAAATTTTAAAATATGGTATTTTAAAATTTAGTAGCGATTAGACATTGTTTCGGTATTTTAATAAATCTATCAAACGACTAAAATTCATGGACAGAATACTGCGAATTGAAATTTGGAATACAAAATGGCGTGGGTTTTATAACATACCTGGAGCGTTCTAGAAATACTAGAAAACGAGCACTCTAAGCTTAACAGTATGGATAAAAATTGATCCAGGATATTTTCGTCACCACTTGATGGCGTATTCTGTAATTTGAGAAATTAATAATGTATGGAAATCTTTAAAACATCACTGCAAATCTGAGAATTCTTCACACGCGCCGCAAGCGAATCGGTAAAATATCACTTAAAATATGTAGAATTAGCAAGCGGAATTGCCAAATAATTTTTAACAAAATTCTCAACTATTTAAGAATTAGACATATTTATCTTAAATGTACAAAAATCTTGGAATGTGGCTTATGTAATTTTGTTTGCATTTTGTTTTTAATATTCAATTTATTTATTTAATTAAAGTTTAAGATTATAGCTTTTATTAAAATTTCTGCGAAACAAAAAAGATATTTAACGCTAGTAACAATTTCGATCAATTTTTCGTTCCATGTTCACTTATCCATTCACGCCAAAGTTGTAATTCATTTGTAAATCAACGTTCATTCATGCATAGTTCAATTCAGTTCATTCATTCAATTCTTTTCTGTTTTGTTAATTTGTGATTCTGCTGTGATTTTTACAAAGATAATTACTTAAACGTAATATTATAATCATACGGATGTCAGTGCAGTTAACGATTTTCAGTTTGATTTCTATTGTTATTTCCAAATCGTCATACTATTTCAGAGGAAAACTGGACATTAGTTCTGATCGCACATTATACTGTCGAGTAGAGAACCAAAATGACCACAGCAGCTCGACCCACGTTTGATCCAGCTCGAGGGGGCACAGGAAGAGGAGAAAAAGATTTGAGTGCTATATCTCGCCAGTATTCCAGCAGAGATCTTCCAGGACACACCAAATTAAAATACAGGTCAGTCGCAGTCAACTTTATGTTAATGGTAATATGCCCCATATTACCATTAATGTATAGATGAATGCCCATTCATTTTGTGACATTGTTTTCGTTTTATCTATACATGATTTGTGCGTTTTTTGTTGAAACATCTTATGTGACATGCGCTTATAATGTAGCAGTAAGATAAATGGTTTGTTTGGAATCTACTCTCTATTTTAATAAATGTTCATTATTGTTATTCAGAGAGCAAGGTCAGGGTACAACTGAGGAACTCCGCTCCCGAGATTTCCGTAAAGAGCTAGATGAGAGGGAGAAGGAGACCAAAGGCCCAAGTGTAAGGAGACAGAATGAACCAATTGTCAAAAGACCTAAAGCTGACCAAGTGCCAGCGGCCAGTTTGGATGCAGATGATCCATTGGAAGGAGACTCTTCAGACTCAGATGATTCTGATGACGATACTGCAGCTTTGTTAGCAGAACTAAACAAAATCAAGAAGGAGAGAGCAATAGAGCAGGCTAAAAAGGTGTGTTTTTCTTAGTAAATTGTCAAAACACAATTGGTAATGTTGAGTTGTAGGAGTGTGGTTAGAAAATGAACCTCATTCAGACAGATTTGTTAAATGAACTTTGACAAGGAGAATTGGTAACATGAGCAAGTTGTCTTGTAAGAATGGTAATAAGAATTTATTATTTAAAAAAAAATTGTATCGTGAATATAAATACTTCTTTGCTCTTCATTTTTGTTAAAGTTGGCTTAATAAAACTCAGCCTAAGTGTGTAGGAAAACGAGAGAATGACTTTGTCTTAAAATTAGGTTTAATCATTCAATCATTAGCAATGTTACTCATTTTACAAAACTAATAAACTAATTTATAAATGAAGAACACTAATGTGCTATGCTTTATTAGAATACTTCACTAATGTGTCATCAAATCTATTAAAGATTCAGGGTTATTTCTAAAATAATGACGACCTCACAGGATTATATCATAGACTGCTAACTTTTGGTCCATGACTTTTTACAAAATAATAATATAATAAATATAAAATTTACCAAAAATAAATTTGTAAATTTTTGTTAAACTATTTAATATTTTGTTAATATTTTGTATTTAGTCATAAGTTCAAACTTCCCCAACGGCCAGCACTCGCGCTCCTGCGTTTTGCGCAGAGAGATATCGTTGTTTAGAGCAATCTATTAAGACAATTTTATTTTTGTACAAAAGTGATGAATTACTAAGACTGGTTTTCTTGTCCCACTCACTCGTTGGTAGGTCAATATGTATGTATTCATATGAAACATCTCTAAATGACATGGACTGTCAGTGTTGAGCTGTGCGTAATTGTATGCACCTTAACAGTTGTGGAACATAACCTGTTCTGCCTTCGTAATGAAAAAAGGCACAACTGCTGCATATTTAGATAGTTGTGCCTTTTTTCGTTATGAGGGCAGTGTTGATTATGATGTTAGGAATATGGTCCTGGGAGGTTGTTAGTATTTTACGAATGACCCTGTATAGTATAATTTATGGAATCATAACAAACTACAATGATAAAAAAATGTATACATATATGAAAACTTAATTTTAACCTGGGTGTGACACTATAAAAGCTTACTTATAAATGCAATTAGCCTGAGAATATGATTCGCTTACTCGTTTATTTAAACATGTGTTTTAGGATGCTGAGAGGAAACAGGAGGAGGAAAGAATTCGCATGGAGAACATTTTGTCCGGAAATCCCTTGCTGAACTATGCTGCAACTGGTCAGAAAAATGATATGAAGGTACTTTATTTTACAAAATCTTCTTAAATATTTCATTATTTTGCCAAAAAATTTTTGTATACAAAAAGTATGTTGTTAACTCATTATAACTCATTATGGTTTTTATTAAACAAGGACAATGAAAAAAAAAAAAGTTTAAGTAAGTTGAAGCTTAAGTACTAATTATAATTAGTAGACCCTTTATTTATTGCAAAGAATACAAAATGACATAATAAACAGATTATCCCTAACTAACAATAAACTTAACAGGAAATATTATATTGCAGTAATTATTGTAAAACTATTTTGTTTTAGGTAAAGAGGCGATGGGATGATGACGTCGTGTTCAAGAATTGTGCGCGATCTGAGCCTGAGAAGAAACCTAATACCTTTATCAATGACTCCCTCAGATCAGAATTTCATAAAAAGTTCATGGAGAAATATGTCAAATAAAATGTTGAATTGATATTTAATTAACTAAATAAGTATGATTGTGGATGTGTTCTATAATTGAGATGTTATTTGTAATAAAGTGTAATTATAATAAGGGACAAAAATGATTATTGTTTTTATTTCAATATGTCATATTTTTATTTCAGAAGTAATTGAGAACTATACCTACTAATCAAAGTCGCTCTTGTAACGTTTTAAGTAGGTTTAACCGCAACATATTACGAGATTCTCGTTAGTTCATATTGTACAGAATGTGAAAATAAAAATCTTTAGATGTATATAATTAGCAGTTAGACGTTTACGTTTGAAAATGTATAGAACGAGAGAGGGGGAATGTGTGCGGCCAGTGGCCCACCTTGAGTGGGCAGGTTCCGCGGTTGATCCCGCCGCGCGCCTCCTCCGGCCGCGTCTCGCGGTTTGTCTCGCCGCGCCAGTCGAGTGGGCGCTTCGTTAGTGAACATGGCTGTTTCGAAGGCAGCGTGGCGGTGCGCGTGCATAATAGTGTTTATTGTGATAGCGGAGGCTGCTTTCTCTGGGTTGTACATCGACAATGGCGTCGACCAGACAATTATACACCATATCATGACGCCACACGAAAAGTTCGTAGTTGAACACGAAATCTTGGAGCTTTTGGGGTTGGGAGAACGGCCGCAGCGGGTTCGCGTGCCTCCCCTCAACCGTTCAGCGCCTAGCTTCCTCATGGATGTGTACAAGCAACTCGCGGAAGAGCACGAGCTTACACGACCTACTCGCAGCTCTGACATGACCCTCAGCGGAGATGAACAGCAAGCCATTGACGAAAGCGATCTCATTATGACCTTCCAGAGCAAAAGTAAGTCATTATCTGTTCCATTTGAGTACACGGCAAATTAAATAAACTTTAAAACGATTTAATTAATTGTTCTTAAGTGTAATTAACTACATACCCTGATACATGTTTATAGACCTTACAGTTACATTATGCGCACTTTGTTTTCTTTCGACGCAGGCGCAGACTCACAATTCCTTGATTGTGAGATTTATTATTAGCATCGTAATGTATTTGTAGGTGCTTACTTACATTTAACACCTATATACCATATATACCTAAATAATTAAGTACCTATAATTTTTTGCAATTAGGTTCTACGCAGTGTGCCTACAAGGTTTTTGTCTTAAAACTCATAACCTTAGAATAATTTAAAATGTATAATTTGTTTTGTGATATAATTAAGTATTTGCATACACGCAATATAAATAATTGGTTAATTTAACTCTATAATTGTGTATCTGACGTTCATCATTGGCTTCTTCTACGGAATGCGAATAAATAAAATGAAAGTGCGAAAGTTCCACCTACATTTAATTAAACATCTTTTGATGGTCTTTACGATATAAGTATTAATTAGGTTTTGGTAAAAAGTACTAAAAAAGTAGTAATCATAAATGGAGAATTATAATTAATTAAGAAATATAAGTACAAAAGTACAAGTTACCTAAGATTAGATAAATAATTAAATACAAACCTAAAAATTATTTTGGTTGTAATTAGATAACAAGTTGATTACTAAATAATTCACAGTTAGATCAAAATTACTACCTCTGTTCGGTCAAGAGATTATCTATTCATTCTTATCCACATTTTCTCCTAGGTTCTTAGTTTAGAAATAAAGATGTTTTGTCGTTATATTCTATCAGATACAGAGTAACGATAATTTTGACAGATTTTAAAGTTCTATACATTAGTATATTTGGAATTATGGAGAAATTTAAACATCAAGGACCACACAAATTCAGACCCCCGTGGAGTGTAGGTACAGGTAACAGGTATGAGTCACCGGTCGCATACCACAGAGATTGACTCCGGCGCCGGCGGCCGCCTGCTCAAGATAAAAACTTAATTGGCGCTAGACATTACAACGCTTTAACACTTTTTGTTCCGTCCATTCTGTTATTATACCGGCATTGTTTCTACTATTCTTGGGTATAGACCAATGTAGATTTCCAATACAATTGCACGACTAGCGATAACAAATTCCGCATGACTTTCGAGAATTTAATCTGTTCCTGGAATGAATCCGATAGCCTCAGAAACGATACAAATGAACACATATAAGGGATACTTTCCAAGCTGCAAGCAGCTACAAGTACCACCATTGCTATTACTTACCTAGTTATGTACCAAATGTATTTTGCATTATATCTAATGTCACCATTATTTTTCCTTAGAGCTGGACGTTTTAAAAATAAAACACATGTAGATAGTTACGTAATGTTTAATGATTAAAAATATTTTAAATAGAACTAAAAATATTTAATGATC